CCACTCATTCTAAACATTCTGTGGAGTATTCAGTAAGCAGTCCACATCTCACACCGCAGAGATCGCTGAATTCACGCAGTGTAATCCGCCATCACACGCAACACTCCCAATAGCGACCCAGGTTCAATCCCCACACCTATCAGCGATACTCGATACCTTATCACCCAGAAAGACGACGCTAAGACCAGTTCCTCTCCTCCCCCATGAGAACCTCTTCCTCCCACGTAGCATGGGTCATCTGCAATCCTTTCCACTTCACCATCCACTGCCTTCTACCCTCATCTGCTCACCCAAAGCCATCACACTCAGGATAGCCCCCCTATAGGCTCACATTGACGGAAAGTAATAAGGCGTTCCATCTGCAGCCACTCCTCCTTAATAAGCCCTCGATCCACCAGCTCGTCCAACAGGGCCGCTTGCCCCCCACTCGATGCAGCATGGTTGGATCCTGGATATCAAATAAGTAGTTTCATGTGCATGCTTGCAGATGACGATGATCATCCTAAACTCACCAGCCGAGCCCGAGCGTTTCCTTCTAGGGCTGTCCACTGCTGCTGCTGGTTGTTGTTGTCCTGATGATGGACCCCCCTGCTCAAGTGTAGTGATGGGGAAGTCCACGTTCTTATCTATCTCTCTTGGATGCCGTTCCTCAAACTTTCGTATCTACCACCATGCGCCGTCATACAAACTTATATCTATCGATAACATATAAAATATATATACTATTAACACGATTGTCAAAAATATATTTCACGACTACTGCATATCGCGAGTATCGCGTTTTCCACAGAGTATCACGCCACTTCACGTAAGATGGGTGAAACTCCGATATTACATATAAATTACATAATATTATTATTATTCCGCTCTAAACCATTCACGTATTTATACTTCACATATAATATATTCATAGGTGGTAATGAGCAGCCATCTGCCTCCCCCTTCCTCTCCCTACCCTCATGGCAGCACCGCCGTCCTGGTTCACTAGAACGTCCATAGAATGCCAAGAGACTCTCGAATAAGGTTCATTAGCCCACTTGATGAGATACTCATCAGCAGCTTCAACATCATGCACCCTCCTGGCCAGTATTGCCTCCATCTTATGCTCACCCCCTTCCACTGTTGTGGGATGATGCTGATGATGACCATGATGATGACGATGATGGTCTGACGATGATGAGGAGGGAGAGGGGGAGGAAGATGACCGTTTATGGCTGTGTGAATTAGTCACAGCCATTCAGACTAGTAAAGACAAAAAACGCCGAGTAAAGGAGCCTTGTGGGCGCCTACAGAGAAACCGTCACCCCATCATCGCCCCATCACCAACACAACTAACACGTTACTCAGCACCTGTGTGCATGCGTGCAAACAAGCCCTACATATACTATAAGGCCACCTCACCCTATATCTTTCTCCTCCCAGAGGTGTCTCCAATACATGCGATGCCATGACGGACGGACAAGACAGATGTGGGTCGATTGATTCACCAAGGGTGGATAGACAGATCAATCGCTCCAAAGGCGAGCGAGGCATATTACTCCAACAGGGCCAAGCGGTAGAGACAGTAGTATGAACAGCCATCGTCATCCCTAACGGCCTCTCACCCATCCACCCAAGTTCGATCCCCAGACACGGCGTGTTTGGTTTTATATCAGCTATCAGAATAAAGGGGACAGCAAAGTAACACTACAGCACACAAAGAGAGGTCATAACAGTAAACCCACCCTCATACCATCATCCTTTCAACTACCTCTAATGCCTGCGTGGGAGCCCACCACTTCACGAAAAACCACTACAGAAACACTCTAGAGTCTACACTATAGTGACAGGAGTAATACGCCCCATACCACTCCGTAAACTGGTATGCATCTCGAGTTATCACACCTCTTTGATTGATGGAACTCGGGCTACAGGTATGTGCTTGCGTGCGGCACGCATACACACAAGTGGGCCTGCATAATGTGACATGACAAAACCGAAATTATGCTCAAAATGCAGATAGAGCATTCCTACATCTCTTTTAAACCAGCAGGTTATATCACCAGCATATATTCCATACAACCCAGGTTCGATCCCCGCAGGCAGCGTTTATTAACAACGCCAAGCTGTACTATAATGCAATGCATAATAGTCATCATCACTACACCTCTCCCTCGATTGATACAGAATATATGAAATGGTAGCATAAGTAGACACAGTGCGGTATCAGTAGTGGTATTATTATCACTTTTGATGGTTGAAAAAAGCCCCACCAAAGAAGGGTCGTTCATGTCTAACATCCTCGTTAAACGCCCACTGCGTTGCCCTAACACAGTCAAGAGTCATTCACCCATCATATTCAAGTACCGGAAGAGGAGCAGGCATCCATAATCGATCACTCGATCGATTTCCCAACCCTACCTCAACAAGAAATTCGCATCAATCTTGCGTTGCATCTCTTCCTCCCTCCACTTGTGTGTATAATACCCATACACCAAATACAGGCTGACGCTGGTGATACCAAGAAAACAAGCTCTGACAACATCCACCACATCAAAGAACCACTCCACGCACTGGTCTTACTTATTAAAAGGACTTTCAAAAAACCTGTTGATGGAATCTGCGAGAATCTCAATAGAGCTCTTCGGTGGCATCCGACCAGCATCATTATCAGTGTTAGAATTCATCATAGTATTGGTCGAGCTCTGATGCATGTTATTGATGGTGATTGGTGTACCTGCTCCCCGACGTGAACTGGGCTCATACGAAACCACCAACCTTCTGTCCTGATCGCCGACGCAAACTGTGATAGTTCCGCAATAACCTGTCGCCGTGTTTGATCTGATCAAAGCCCGCATGGCAACCACACCAGTCGGGAGCGCTACCCCTTATGTCCTGCTCTCTCACGATAACAGCATCCACATTCATAGGTGGCATCATCATACCACTCGAGGGCCCTCCTACTGCAGCATAGTCATCATATGGAGTCGAGACCAGCTCATCCCCTCCAATACTGGTATTAGTGATGGCTTGGGGATTGCCACGACGCTGGACACCATCCGACGTTGTTGATACTGAGTTCCTGAACACCAAAATACTAACCATAAAAGGGACCATATAGACTCTCCACTGTGTGCAAATTCCAATGAGAAATAATATCCTGAGTTTCCAGCTCTAGTCGGCTCATCAAATCGATCAACATGATACCACCATACAACGGCAAACTTTTTCCCTTTTTCAACAAGGTTGGAATATATGTTCGATTTCCTCAACGGAGCTCAGGGGTCTCCCCACTGACTTCCTATTCAAATACGGCAACGATCGAGAAATTTCCTTAGCCTTTCCGTGTCGTCGCGCACACATGTAGTTGAGCACTTGCGTATTCTCCCAGATTGCTTTCCAATATCAAAGCTCACCCAGTGTGCAATAAGTAAGGTTAGAAGGATATCCCCTCAGTCTCACCATCTCTCAGTAGTTGGCTGCTTATCGGAAGCCTCACTACCATCAGTACTACCACCACCATTCCCTGCTGTTGCATATCCTCCATCACTGGACGATGCCTCTACCGGGGATCGATCCGACATCCTCTGCCCGAATTGGTTGGGGAACATTCAACACCAGAGGATAGCAAAAGGAAAGAACAAGAAGGAGGTCATCCCACGCACCCGCCCATGGATTCGATAGTATCTTAAGGTTGACGTGGTAAGATACAAATGAGGTCCAGATGAGTACCACCCGCGATTCCCAAGCTAATTAATAAAACTACAACACAACCCTCCAGTATTGACAACATCATGAGTCCCCATCTATCCCCATCGACTCTCACTTTTCCTATCACACTTCACTACGTCCCTACACCGATATTCATTCATAAGTGTCTCCCAGCTTCGCTCCGCCGAATTTCCAGTTCTATCTTCTACTCCTCTCCGTGGGTTCTCCCTCATGTACATCTGTTGCTGCCATACAAGGTACTTGTGCCTCGCACAAAGGTTGAGACTTTTACAATCACTGTGTGTATGTAGGTACGGCTGGGATGACATGTCGTCAATTCTGATGAAAAAAGAGGCAAATTCCTGCAGCGCTCACACGAAACCGCCACTGCACCAGCACGACAACAACAGGATAAACGAAGAAACTATCACGTAAGATCAACTCCAAAACTCATTCATAAACTCATTATACACCCATCCACCGATTCCCATCAGCATACCGCTCTAGTGATCGCTTGTATGAACTCGTATTGTTGCAATAAGGCGCCCGTCACATGTCCCCCTCGGACCCACCTTATAGGGCATCCCAGATACTCACTCAACTTATTCGTATTGTCTCCCAGTACGATAGCGTCATGCCGTGCTCCTAGCAGTTCCACTCGAGAACTAGAGAGGTTGGCAGGCTTAGGATAGGTCGTGATATCAGTAGCAGCAGTAGCCTCTTCAATGTAGTCTCTTTCCAACACTGGGTTCACATACGGCCGCATGGCGCTCCTTTCGTGAGTCCAAGTAGAGCTGGCAGAAGCGGCTGGGAAGAGAGCACAAAGTGACAAAGGAGTGGTATTAAGATTCCGTATTGTTATAGCACTCATAATCGCAATGGAAGCCCCTATAGAAAGGCCACCTACACAAAGCCTATCAGGAGCGAGATTCAAGTCAACCCAGTGCAGGATGGACCTTGTGTCCGATACCGCTCTCACCGCAAATGCCAAGAACTGTCCCATACTGTGCAGACGTTCCCCATCAACAGAGTGGCTCCTTCTACCCCTCAATGGGTTCTCTAGTAATATCATACCACATACACCCTTGCTGGCTAGGGTGATAGACATTGGCACTTGACGAGAGGCGTAATGCTCAGCAAAGGAGGGTAAGAACACTACCAAAGGGCAGCTACTACTACTACCATCACTACTGTGTGGAGTATTAGCCTTACTACCAGCAAGCCTAGTGGAAATGTAGTCAAGCATGCGATCCAAGTAGATCTTACTCTGGCCGAGAATGCCAAACCCGACCAAGTCCAATCTCGATAACAAAGATTCCCCATCAGGATTCATAGTAGGGCGAGTTGAGGTCTCCCTCACCTCAAATCGATCGTCAGTAGCAGCAGACATCCTCTTAGCCATTTCTATTCCCCTAGTATCAGCTGGTAGTATCACCAAACACCATCCCGTGTCACACGCCCTCGGCAAAGGATCGTTACACTGTAGAGGCCTCGATGGGAAATACCCAACGCGCCAGAGGACCTTCTTATACCGCATCCACAGATCCCCTTCCCACCGTATCGTGAAATGAGGATCAACTACATCTGCCTCAACACAGCTCTTGGCAGCCTCTTGAATAGCATTCAAATCAGCAGCATCATCTTCCCCATAGAAATGACAAAGATCACCGTCCAAGCCAAGCTTCCGTTTAGCTATCCGGGCCGACCTGTTAGACCACCAGTAATCAGCCAGGGAAAGGTATCCCCCTTCCTGCGAAAAACTCTGTACTAACGCGTTACGCTTCTCTAAAGTAACTTGTAAATACCAACCATAAGCCCCCACTAGAGATACTCCTATCAGAGCCATCTTATACACAGTAGGAGACCTCACCCACTGCTTGATATTCATTGCCCCCCTAACTCGTCGACTCAGCAATGTAACCATGTAACCGACACAGCCCGGCTGCCACTGTCCAGCCTTGCGAGGTCAGTGGCGCGCGCCCAAGCAATCGATAAGGAATGTACGCGTTCCGTAGCACTTCCCGTGAACGATCCCCGAGGGGTAGATCTTCGCGTAGATCTTCTAGAGGGCGCTCCCACGATGGAGGCAGAGAAGGACGAAGAAAGGTAGTATTCTCAGGATTTGACGTTTTGGCAAAATTTCCCCTTTTTTGAGGGATTTTCTACCAAAATTACAATGATCGCGCATCGCGGAAAATCTTTCCAAAAACTATTGACTCGTACCTTTGCAGGCTCGTGATGACGAGTGGGAGTATGATCGTGAACGGCGCGAAAGGCGATACCGGGAGGCCCCCAAACGGAGCGATTCCTCCACCAGGAGATCTGGATCATACTTCCGCACTGACGAACATGATGATAGAGTTCTTCACACCCACACAGCTAGCGGCAACCATGGCCCTACTGCCCTTCGTCCAGTCAAGGACTTCCGTCCTAGAGTCCGTATCGAGAGGCATGAGAATAGAAGGGAGGCTGTATTGTTCCTCATGGCTTGGGATGACAAGACTCCCCACACTATAACGCAAGTCGACACTGCTATCGAGTAATAACAACAACAACAGCATTCTCTCCATCATTTTCTTTTCTCAGTGAATTCATGAGGAAACTACCTAAGGAACCCGAATATTACATTTTCACCGAGGAACTACTTTCTGGTAGTAATAAGACTACTTCCACTCTCACACTTATTCGAAAGTACCTCATTTTTCTCAGGTATGGTGCCTAACCTGGTTTACTGTGATAGATGGATAATTAGTATACTGGACGAGTCCTTACATAAGTCACTCAGCACTTCCGAGCTATCAATCATGAGGTCATAATAAAGCGGTTTAGTCGTTATAGGGAGGATATGTTTCGGAGTGATACACTTCAGTAGTGTATTTATTCTCTTCCAATATGACACTCCCTCACGAGGCTCCCCTCCTTGCCCGCGCTTGACTTATTTCCACACTCTTAGTTGCTATGATTGGGCGCATCTTGAGCTCGG